AGATTGCTCCGAACGTAAGAAAAAAGTATCGTAAACGCTTCCATTTGAAACACGCTAAGCTCTTGTATTACCGCCATTACCTTCCTTTTCAACAAAGAGTCTTCATCCATTTTCAAGGGAAATGAATTCACCACCGCCAGAGTCATCAGAAACGCAACAATGGATGATTAGGCATTAAAAATGTTAATAAGTACTGTTTGGTTGTTATAAAAACATTAGATACATAGATAGGTTATTACGGAAAAAGGGATGTTGATAAGTGGCGGTTACAGAATGTGAATATATGGATATGTTATATATGTACTTTTGATTAATAAATAAAGAGGAGAGCGATCCTTGCAGTAATGAACACTACTTAAGCAGTAATGGAAATAAAGTCCGAAATAAGAACGGAAAAAACTCAAGTCTCTACGGGATTTGAACCCATGACCTCTGCGATACCGGTGCAATGCTCCACCAACTGAGCTAACAAGCCAACTGGGAGCTGGTAATTATGTTTATTCATGCAAAGAATGAAATTATATCCACAAACACCTCAAAGATTATTTAAACTTGATGAATCAAAAATACAGACTCAGATCTAAGGCCCCTCAACGAGCGAGATTTCCTAGACTTTTCCTAGACTCTCCTCAATCTACTTGTGCGAAATACTTTTCCGAATCAGATGCCAGTCAAAACATAACAAGCTGTTATTACGAAACTAGACGAAGAAAAAAAACAAGTAACAAATCACATGCGAGTAACGAGTTCTCTTTTCGACAACTTGTAATAAATTGTCCAACAAGTACACATATGAGGCTCTCCGTGGGGTTCACCATTAGCCGTAAAACAGCCAACATATTTAGCCGTTAGGCGTAAACATTGACAAATTTTAACCGAAAATCTTCATGAAATTTAACCATAAAAACTTTTCATTTTATCGCAGTCGAAAGAGATAAACAGCTAGCCGTCAAATGGCCTATGGTTCGGCAGTCCACCCATCGAGCCCCTCAAATCTACCTTCTAAATTTAGTAACAATGCGAAGAGATGAAGGCGGTCCAGTACTAATTATCATTTCTAACGCCCAATCGCACCTCATGGTTGGCTTCCCATAACAGAAATTGTACCACGTCCCAATTAAGAAGGAGACATCACTTAAAGCTACAAATATATAGATCCTAGATTCATGAGTACTTTGTTTTCAAGATAAAGTCGAGCGTGCGCGCAATATTATAGTCTTTCCGAGAACTTCTTTGTTGATGCAAGATTCCCTTGATAATTATTTTATGATCTTCTATAGATAATTTAAATTTAGTTTTTGGTCACCAAAATATTTTGCTTTCATAATTTACTATTTCGCGCGCACGACATTCTATGCGTTCCTATGATTTCTTTGCTAATGTAAACTTGTTTTTTTCAAATATTCCCACCCACATTCCCCCTTTGAAGCCATCCATGGGGGGACCATCAAGTACTTATTATACTAATAAGTGTCCTTTGACTGCAAGAAAAACGTTGAATTAATGTTGGGCCAAGTTACCATCTCCATGAAAAAAACTTTCCTTGTAAGGAATTGAATGTTTTTCTAGAGCATGTACAAAGATAGTTAACGAGGTAAGAAAAAAAAGTGAGAGAAGTTTGGAGAGGAGTTATGTCATTTCTACGTGCGCTCATTCGAATGTGGCAAGTAGTTATTCCCAATAAGAAAAAAGAAAATCATAGCGTTGACATTCAAAACCTCAATTATAATTCCTCATCAGGCTCTCAATAGTTGTAACGTACACCTACATATAAACTTATTAAAAGTACTTACAGTTCGTTGAGGTCGTAATATAAAAAAAACTAACTTCGAAACAATCAACCAGGGGATCTTACATTTTTTTTTTATTCGATATAACATATCAAATGTCGTGGGCGAGCTCAACTGTAACTTGAAAACAAAATACTTGTGAATTCACCATCAATATATACAACCCCTTGTAATGTTTCCTTCCTTCGACATGATATAATTTCCATTATCACGATTGGTTGATAAGGCACTTAAAATGTGAATAAGTATTGTTTGTTTGTTATAAAAACATCAGATACTTTTAACATTCCCCATATCATTATTGGCTCTCACAAGATCCGGGAATACAAAGCCCAGAATTTTTCTGAAGGTAATTATCAATAATAAGATTGCAAGGTATTTCCTCGGTTCCATACCATCTGGGCAAGTTAAATGCAGTTTGTCTGCAATTTTAGGGAAGGTTTAATCTATTTCAGTGGCATTTCATCCATTTTTCCGAGCTTTCTTTAATGTTTTCATTTCATAGTTCCTAGACGGAGGGGTAATGAACACAACTTACGATCAATTCTGTGTTTGAAGTAACACTTTGTTTTGCTCCGATTTTTTTTTTTAAAAGAAAAGCAGAATATGAAGTGCTTTGTTGTGTTTCTGATGACTCTAGTGGTGGTGAATTCATTTCCCTTGAAAAATGATGAAGACTCTTCGTTGAAAAGGAAGGTAATGTCGGAAATGCAACGGCTTTGTTATTTTCAAATGGAATCGATAAAGATACTTTTTTCACGTTTGGAGAATCTTTATTGGTGTCTCGTAAACGATCAAGGATATTGTTGGTGTTTATTCATTAATCTTTTTTTATGGATCCAAACAACAAGCCGTCCGTACTGTTTTTGTTTTTAAGCTCTTTCACGCTGAAAGTCGGATCTGTACTCGATCAAAAGCCTTTGCTACAATCCTTATTCTGTACCGGTGTTGACTGCTTTTTGACCATATCAGTTAATTTTTTGTTTTTTCAAGATTTTGCGCCCGAATGCTTGTCGCAGAGTGTTGATTGGTGAGTGCAATTTTTCAACATATTTTAGTGCTTTTTGCCAATTGTCAAAAAACAGATTTTTGATGTTTAAGCAATGATAAATTCCCTTCACTCTCGTGAAGTTTAACAACACGTACAGCTCTCATTTATTTAATCTATTAATAAAACTGATATAAACCTACTTGCAAAAGCACCACACTGATACAAATTAGCCAAATTTCATCTTGTATTACGTCAGTGATTTGTTTACTCTTGTTAGATTTTTCAGTGCAGTCCTATTAACTTCAGTTCAACTTTACAATTTTCTAAGAAAATTTTTAAAAAAGTTACAAATATTTATTTCAGATGATGTTAATTACTTTCGCAGCGCCACGTCTGAACGACCCCGCTCAACCAAATAAATGGGGCGTCAATGTTGGTGAAGGGCACAATAATGGTAATCACGGTTGGGGTGTGAGTGTTGGTGGGCACAATGTAATAATGTGATGGATGGAAAGCCTCTGGAGTTTTGTATGAGATAAACCATCCCACCACCAACCTCTTCCTCCTTACCTCCCCTCTCCCCTCTCCCCACACCCCCCTTCACTTCCTTGCTTTTATCCATCCATTCGATTAATTAGCAATATTTTATCCTGTATTACGTCAGTGATTTGCTTGCTGTTGTTAGATTTTTCAGTGCAGTCTCATTTACTTCAACTAAACCTCATAATGTTCCAAGAAAATTAAAAAAAAGTTACAACCATTTATTTCAGATAATGTTAATTACTTTTGCAACGCCTCATCTGAATGACCCCAACGTTTACTGTGATTGGACCAATGGTGGTGATACTATCGGTGGTTCCCACAACAACGGTAACTCAGGTTGGGGCTATTATAATAATGGTTATGACGCTTTCATATTCACTTATATTTTTGTTGTATGATTTTTCAAGCTTCACCCATAAATTAGTGGTTGCAAAGCTAATTGATGAGGTCTTGATATAAGATAAAAACCTGAATTCAATCGTCTTGAATTACGATATAGTTTGATGCCCAAAAACTAAATTCAAAATTACTTTCAAGAAGATCCTAAAACAGTTTACTAGGGGATCATATATCAACAGACAAGTCGCAAAGAATGAATCGAATGTCGAGCGCTCTCAACTGTTGCATAAAAACAAAATACTTACGAATCCACGATTAACATTATAGTGCTTGTTTTCTTTCCTTCCTGTGGAACACGTTTCAATTTCCGTCAAGAGAAGTTAAACCATGGAATGATCTGGCAGCTTTGAGTGGATTCGTACCCTCATCCAGATTTTTCGATTATTCGGATTTGCTTCTCTGCTCCAATTTTCTTTTAAATATTAATCTGTCACATTCAAGT